GGCCCCGCCCTGGCCTCCCCGCAGCCCGCGTCCACCCCCGCCCTGCTCACAGCCTGAAAGCTCCCGCCGTGGCCCCGCACCCACCCGCCCAGGGTGCACAACCCTCTGTGCTGGCCACTGCTGTGCTGCTGCTTCCTGGCAGCCCCCAACACAGAGCTCTGCCCCGAGCCCGCGGCAAAGTGAAGTCCCGGGGGCGCTGCCAAGGCGGGAGCAGCAGGTGACAAAGGGGGAAACCTTGTCCCCCCCGTTTTGGGGCACAGACGCGAACAACGAGAGTCCAAGGCATAGGAACTGGGCTAGAGGGCATCTGACTCAGCAGCAACCACCAATGAACATCTCCGCATACCCAAAAACTTTGGGGACCCCTGCCCTGCTGTGGTGGCCCTTGGCATTTTCCCTTGCCCCCTCCCACACGTACACATCCTGGTGCTCCTTTCCCATCAGGGTGGCCCCCCCTGCCCTAAGGGCTCCCACTCTCTCCCTGGAGCTGGGGGCCATTCCCCGCCTGGGGCACAGGCCCATATGTACCTGGAAGGGAGAAGAGGCTGGTGCAAGATGAGATGTCTCAGGGGCCCAGGTGCAGCCCCCCACATCCCTCTGCTCCCTTGCTGACATTGCAGAGACATAAACCATGCAGAAAACTGCATGCCTCCGGCAGGCTGGTGGGGGCAGGAGGTACAAGCCATGGCAGCTCCGTGTCAGCACAGCCACCTGGCCAAACACCGAGGCCATCCCCTCCAAAGCAAGTATGTCTGTCGCCATGCCCCCAGTGCCTGGCAGGCCCCCAGGCCCCTTGTAGCACCAGCACGAGGGAGTTAACACACCCTAACCACAAGAACCACAGTACACATCAGACCATTGCCCAGTTTAAGGCCACCTCTGATAGTTTGGCACAAGCGGTGACACTGCTGCAGAGCACCCTGTGGTCACCCATCACAAGCATCCCCCGATACTGACTTAGCAAGGTGCCCTCGTGCTTGGTGCTGTACTAAGAGGGTCCTGTCCCAGCAAGTCCCAAGTCCACTGTTGCAGGGAGAATGAAATACACACGCGTGCACCCAGACACCCACGCAAACATCCACACTCAAGCACACACATAGATGTAAAAATTCTGAGCCCTGCCAAAAGGGGAAACTAAGGCACAGGTGGTTAGAACCATTCCTGGTCAAAGGACCTGAGCTGGCACCCTGCTCTGCCCTCTTCATGGGTCCTTGCAGCATCTGCAGGTCCCACCCAGCCCTGCCTCGCCCATGGGTCCCCTCCCTGCCTGCAGGCCAAAACCCTGCCCTGTCCCACCCACATATTGCACCCCTGCCCACAGGGCTCGGCGCAGCCCACTATCGCATCCCTGCCTCCAGGTTCCTACCCTGTGCCTGGGTCTCATTTCCACCTGCGGCTCTACCTGGCCCTGCCCATGGTCAGATCTCCAACTGTGGCTATGCCTTCAGCCTCTGCACCCAGGTCCTGGCCCACAGCTCCATCCCCACCCATGGTCACTGTCCTACCCCAAGACACCTGAGGGCTTACATGAAGGACAGAGGCTCTGGAAGGAGAAACAACCACAGGGTGAGGGAGAGGCACATGTGGGTGGCGCTGGGAATAAGGCCTCCTGCCCCCTCAGCTTCCCCCTTTGTGAGACCAAGGGAATCGCCCCAAACAAGGGGTCTGGGGGAGTGGGAGCCCCTCGCCCCACTGGGAAAGTGCTGGGTTGCATTTGGAGCACGGGGGGGTGAGGGGGGCAGCAATTCTTCCGCATGAGTTGCCCCTTTGAAAGCTTGTC